CCCACCACCCCCAAAATATATATATATATATATATATATATATATATATATATATATATATATACAGACCTTTCCAAAAAATTAGAATATAATGGAAAAGTTGTTTAACTTCCATAATTCCATTCAAAAAGTTAATCTTTAATAGATGATAGATTCAGGGCCAACAATTTAAATAATTTCAAGTATTTATTTGTTTAGTTTTACATAATTTGGGCTTCCAGCTCATGAAACCCACAAAAACAAGAATAAAAAAAAATTAGAATACTGTGATATACATCAGCCCACATTACTCAGTTTTTGCAGAAAAAAAGAACAAAATTATGATCACAACAAATCAATCAAAATATGTTACTTTCAAAACGATATGTCAATCTTCAATACTTGGTTGTGAATCCCTTCGCCTTAATCACTGCCTCGATGTGATGTGGCAGATTCAGATTTAGACAGGATCTATTTCAGAAAAAGAAACCCAGTTTAACTTTTAGTTTCCTTGCTAGGTTTTCCACAACATTCTGGTATATCCTCAAGCGGTGTCCAATAGGGACACCGCTTGAGGATAAAATCGAGGAAGAACTGCTGGGACCGGCTTCCTGGTTTGAAAAAAGCATCCATTTGGTTTTGACTAAGACTAAGCATGACTGATATAATTTGGAAAAAATATATTATCGTATGCCTGTGTTTTTGGAATAATCTTCGCATCAAAGCTCATTTCTGTGTCACAGGTGTTTGGTTTATTTAAAATGTTCATTTTTGTTGCATTTCAGAATTGAAATGTAAAACAACAGCCAGACGGAAGCGCGCCACAACTATAATGGAAGTCAGAACCACCCTGTGTAAGAAACTGTTCCAAATTAACTAATACACGTGCTTCCGGCTATTTGTTCATGTGTCATCATTTCAATTATTATCAGACTGTGCATTAACAGTAAATCCAAAATCATTTTATTTTGTACCAATGACTTAGCTTGAGAGTTTTTTTTATTTTAATTGCTTAATAATAGCTGGATGGCTCCCTCCATTACGTCTTCTACAATTCTTGTTTCTTCCCAGTGAGCCAATATCAGAACAATGAAATGCAGCGTCAATGTTGTTTGGATGGCATAAAGGAAATCCCACTTTCATACACGTGCGAGCGGAGAGCAGAGTACATTCTGGATGGTCAAGTCTGTGTCGATGCCTTCCTGAACTGCTGCAAGGAGATGAAACAACAGATAATTGATAAGAAAGAAGAAACGTTTAAATTAGCTCGCAGTAAAAAAACAAACAAAAAGATTGGGGTGGGGGGGGGTATTCACATATTTTTTCCTAAACAAATTATCATGTACTAACATTGTAGGTGAGGAAGATGAAAGTTACATGGACAGCAATGAAATAGTTTCTCGTACCAACTTTCCTGAAAGTTGGCTGTGGTCTGACATCACTCTTCCAGCTTGCGCTCAACCCAACTGGTGAGTCATCTGAAAGCTTGTACAAATAAACAAGCACACATAAAATTGGTCAAACTGTTGCCTCCTAAACCAGGAGTGTCCAGTCCTGGTCCTTGAGGGCCATTATTGTGCATGCTTCACTTGTCCTTCAACACACTCGAGTCAGTGATTGAGTTACCTTTTATACAAATACGATTTATACAAATCAGCTTTTTTGGAACAAAGAAAGCTCTAAATCATGCAGGATAGTTGCCTTCAAAGTCTAGAATTGGACACCCCTGATGTAGAGCTACCTCTGATTGAGTTGGCACTTTCCTGTGTTTCAGTGGGTCCACATCGCTGGTGAAAAATGTTCCTTTGCAAGACTCGATCACAACCTGGCAGTTCACTGGCATCAGCCTGTCACAAACACTTGGTGAGGAGTCCTTAACTACAGTTTGTGTTTTTCTTCCTTTACGATCACTTGAAAGTCCATTCTCTTCAAATGTTCCATCATTTTTCTGCTGCCTCTCATTGTTAAGGCATCTGTATCGGTGAGCCGTTGGAGGTAATTGTCCGTAAGGAATTCTTCATTGATCTCCGGTTGCCTTATTCTGCTGTTCGAGGGGAGCAGCTAGAAATCAAAGCAATCCTCCACAACTACAGCCCTGATCCCATCACTGTAAGTCACAAATTGGGCTTCTTTACATAGAACGTCAAAGTGAGGAGCAAAAAAAAAAATAAAGTTTTTAATTTTTTTGTGCAATGAATTTGTTCATTTTGAGTGTTACTTTATTAGAATCTGATCAAAGTCAAAGCAAACTTCTGGGAATATTGCATTTCTTCAGATTTATTTATTTGTGTTTATTTATTCATTTTTCCATTAATTTAAAATAAACAAAATAAATTCATCAAAATGAAAAAACATTGAATGAAGAGGGTGCAGAAAGAAGAAAACAATTCTTATAATATCTGCCCCTTATTAAAAAAAAAAAAAATATATATATATATATATATATAATATATATATATATATATATATATATATATATATTATATATACTTTTAAACAAACAACTCGGGCTTGAACAATCTCCAAATTGAAAACAAAAAACATCAAGCATCCATCACCATACCTTCCCAACAACTTTACCTTAATCATCTTTTTAAACATATAAATTGTTTTAGAAATGTTTATGTTGATATCAAGGCAGTTCCACAATCCTGTTCCCTGAATTACAACACAGCTCCTTCAGACCAGTTTGAAATGGAGTTTTTACAAACATTACAGTTCCCTTAAGGTTATAATGACTCTCCTTTTTAACAAATTTTAATTGACTATTTGGGGGTAATATTTTTATGAGCTTTATACATGACTTGTAAAATACTATATTCAACCAAATCATAAAATTTTAATAATTTCAACTCATGAAATAATATATTTGTTGGGTGATCGTAGCACTTCCTACTAATAATTCTTATAACTTTTTTTGTAAAAATAAAAATAGGGTTTGTAATAGTTTTGCGTGCTTTTCCCCAAACTTCAATATAGTATATTAAATATAGAACAATCATTACATTATACAATATATACAAAGCTTTGTCATTCAAAAACTCTTTTACTTTCTACATTAATGCAATTTATTTAGCTATTTTTATTCTTAAGTAATTTACATGAGATTTCCATGTCAGCTTCTCCATAACAACACCCCCAAATTTTATTTCATTAACTCTATGAATTTCAATATTGTCAATTTTAAATGGGACTTCAATAATTTTTTTTTCTATTACTAAACACCATGTAGTTTGTTTTTTTCCAAATTTAATGATAACTTATTAAGTTGGAACCAAGTTTGTATTTTTACGAATTCTGCCTGTATCATCTCTAACATCCGTTCAACATTTTCACCCGAACACAAAAATGTGGTATCATCCGCAAATAAAACACACTTCAAAAGCCCTGGCACATCAACCAGATCATTCACGTACAAATTAATGAGTAGTCTTGTACAGTGTAATCACTGATGAAAACTCATGGAAATGGCAACAGCACAGTGGTTAGTGCTGTCTCCTCATCACTACACGTTGTTGGGGTAAGTTCAAGCTCAGGAGCTTTCTGAGGGGACTTAACGTGTTCATCCTGGGTTTCCTTCAGGTACTTCAGTTTTTTTGAGACTAAAATATGCATTTGTTAATTGGATAATCTAAACTGACATGTGTGTGTATGGATGGTTGTTTGTCATGAGTTTCTATGTAGCTCTGTGATGGACTAATGACCTAACACAGGTGTACCCCTCCTTCTGCTCGTTGGTCACAAGAGACTGACACCAGCTTCTAGTGACCCCAAGCAGAATGCAGTGGGTAAAGAATGTGTGTAGATGCATTGAGCTTTAAATTATCTTTAATAGTTCTGTGTCTTTCTTTGTCTTTGTCTTGTTTCTAAGGTTCGTGTGTTCCTGATAGAAGAAGAGAACATTTGCAGTGTAGCCTCTAAACGAGGAAAGTACAAAGTGGAGGTCAATGTTGGAGCACACAGCACACGCTCCGTGCCCTTCATCATTATTCCCATGAAGGACGGTGAACGCAGCATTGAGGTCAAAGCATCTGTTAAGGACTCATCACTCAATGATGGCATTGCGAAGAAGCTGCGGGTGGTGGTAAGAGAATGCTTTTTATAGCATTGTACAGAAGAATAGTTCTCATCTCAATTCAAAATGTTTATTTTTTTAATTTTTTAACTAGAAATATTGCATTTCCTGCGAAAATGCAGTGTGAATGCTAATGGCAGAAGAACTTGCTGAAAGCTGAAATTAGCTTAAAAAGGCATACTGAAATGTAGCTGAAATGAAAGAACAAGCCTAAATTAGCAGAAAAAAAGCAATAAAAACACATATTTGCTGTATTAGGTTTAAATAGGCAGAAATGAGCACAAAAATTAGAAAATCTGTTAAAATTAGCAAAAAAAATCTAAAAAGTAGCCGAAACGACAAAAGGAAACTTAACCTATGAGAAGGAAGTGGAAAGAGCTGAAATGAGCTAAAACAAAATGTGGAATTAGCTAACAAAGCAAAAAATTGCGTAAAATCTAATAGTAGCTGAAATAGTAGAAAAAGCTGAAACTAGCAGAAAAAAACCTTAAAGGAGTATATCAAACTGAAATTAGCAGAAAAAAATTAATTTGGCTGAAAGTAGCAAAAATTACCATGAAAAACTTGAATTTATCTGAAAACAGCTGAAATTAGATTAAAAAAAATTCAAAAAGTTAGCTGAAAAGATAAAACAAGCTTAAATTAGCAGAAGAAAGCAGAAAGAATATGTTTGTCCAATTAGACTGAAAGAAGCAGAAATTAGCACAAAAAGTGGAAATTATCTGGAAAAAAGCTGAAATTAGCAAAAAATAGCTGAAAAGTAGCTAAAAAGGCAGAAAGAATCTTAAATTACCTGAATGAAGTGCAGAGAACATGTTCTTGTTTAATTAGGCTGAAAGCAGTTTAAATCAGTGAAAAAGTGGAATTAGCTGAAAAAGCTAAAATGAGCTTAAAACAGCTAAATAGTAGCTGAAATAGTAGAAAAAGCTGAAACTTGCATACATAAGATGAAAGGAGCATATCGAGCTGAAATTAGCAGAAAGAAGTTAGAAGAAGCACAAAAATGTTGCAGTTGGCTAAAAGAATCTGAAAGGAGCACAAAAAGGCTGAAAAACAGCTGAAAGTAGCTGAAAAATGAAGCCTAAATAAGCTGAACCAGAACAAAATGTGAAAGGAGCAGTAAAAGGTTTTAAACAGATCTAAAGAGTTGAAGGATGAAAAATGAGCTCAATTCATTTTCTATGAGGAAAAAAAAGTCAGAAAAGGCTAAATATTTCACATCAATACCAAACGTCATAGCAGCAAAGTTCATGTTCAATCATCCAGGATTGTCCTGTAACAGCTGAACATTTTGATCTATGATTTGTTGAAATAGTTTGAAAACTGTGGGAAGAGAATCGCGCTGAAAAATGTACGGAAGAAAAATGGATCACAACAGTGTGAATGCTTCATAAACATTCACACAATAATAAAACCAAGATACTTGACTGTTTTATTCACTATTTAACCTTTCATTTAAATTTTGATAAACTGAGATTTGGCATTAATTAATACAATACTTTCAGGCTGTAACGAGAAGAAAGGACATTCATAATGTTATCGGCAATTTATTGGTATTAGCCAAAAATGCTAACCGCTAGTTGAGGCTAACTTGAGGAATGGTGCTTGAAGCAGATCCTCCAAAGTTGTCAAAGTAGAATAAAGCCTGTAATGTTGTTGGAAAAAAAAAATCTAATTAAAACATAATTTTACACATTTTTACAAGAAAACTTTGGGTTGCCATAATAAAATAATAAATAAATAAAAATCTGAAAGTAACCTTGTTTTAGATTTAATTACTCTTCAAGTCATTAAACTATTCACGATCCTTCTTAATTAAGTCTAACTGGACTTGGGCACACTCCAGTTATTATATAAAAGCATTTAAAGGGTCAGTGATACAAATAAAACGCAGAAATGCCTGTTTTAAGTGTCCAAACAAAGGGGTTTATGTCAATTAATTAAATGGACAAAAAAAAGCACTCTTCAAGTACGTTTTTGTTTTAGTATTGGAGAGTTGCCTTTAAATAGTTTTTAAAAAATCACTTCTAATCATTTCAAAGTGAAATAGAAAATGACAAATGCAGATAATTTGAGAGGCTTTAAAACATTTTTTTTTAAGCAGCACATGTTTCTGTATCAACAAAAATAATTTATCATTATATTGGCAATCCAGAATCATTTAAAAACATGCCTAATGTTTATCTCATCTTGTTCTTTTCAGCCTGAAGGTGTTTTGATTAACTCTCCTCAGATTTTAACTATAGATCCAGTTACAAGAGGGCAAAGTATGTTTACACACAAATACTTCGTAGTGTTTTGGTGATAAGACTTTTCATGACCTAACTGACCATTCATGTATTCATTCCTTTAGATGGCAAACAGGAGGTAATAATGAACAGCAACATCCCCAAGAGTGATTTGATACCAAATTCACCAACGAGCACGCAGGTGTCTGTGACAGGTGAGAAATGCAGTTAAATGTGCAACACACATGTGATGCATGGACGATAAGCTCCGCTGTGGCTTTACTGTAACTGTGTGAGTGTTTATGAAGCATTCACACTGTTGTCATCCGTTTTTTATCTGCACGTTTTTTGTGCTGTTACAACAAGTCATAAATCAAAACATTCAGCTCTTTTAGGACAATCCTACTATGACTTTTGGTATTGGTGCAACTTTAGTTTTTTGAAATATTTAGCGTTTTCTGCCTTAAAATGAATTGAGCTCATTTTCCATCCTTCAAATCTTAAGATGTGTTTACAACCTTTTACTGCTCCTTTCACATTTTGTTCTGCTTCAGCTTCTTTCAGCTTACTTGTGTAAATTTAAACTTTTTTCAGCTACTTTCGACTAATTTCAGCTATTTGTTTTTATCCTTGCACATTATTTCTGCCAACTACAATGTTTTTGTGCTTTTTCTAACTTGTTTCTGCTAATTTCAGTTTGTTATGCTCCTTTCAGCTTATTTATGCAAGTTTCGGCTTTTTCTACTATTTCAGCTATTATTTAGCAGTTTTAGGCTAATTTTAGCTTTTTCAACTACTTTTTTTGCAGTAATTTCAATTTTTTTTTACTTCTACTTTTTTTATACTTCTGGTAAGTGAAGTTACTTTCTGCTTTCATAGCTACTAGTTTTATTTTATTTTTGATCATTTCAGCTTTTTTCAGATAATTTCCATTTTTTTGTGATGATTTTTGCTTCTTTCAGCAAATGTGTTCTTTGTGCTTTCTTCTGCTAATTTAAGCTTGTTCCAACTTTTCAGCTACATTTTTAGCATTATTTGGCTAATTTTGGCTGTTTTCAGATAGTCATGTTTTTCATGTTAATTTCTGCTACTTTCAGCCTAACCAACTTCTTTATGCTCCTTTTAGCTTTATTATGCTAGTTTCACCCATTTCTGCTTCTTCAGCCTCTATTCAGCAGCTTTAATGCTAATTTTAGCTTTTCAGCCAATTCCACATTTTTTGAGCTCATGTCAGCTCTTTCAGCTTCCTTCTGGAAGTTTAAACGTCTTTCTGCCTTTCAGCTACTTTTCAGACTTTTTTTTTCTAATTTCAGCTCTTTTAGCTACTTTCCTCATTTTTGTGCTAATTTTTGCTACCTATTTCAGCAAATATGTGTTCTTTCTGCTTTATCCTGCTAATTTACGCTTGTTCTTCCATTTCAGCATGTTTTTTGTTAGTTTCAGCTGTTTTTCTGCATTTTCTTCTGCAATGAGCATTCACACTGCATTTTTGCTGAAAATGCGATTTCTCCAGTTTAAAATGTGGTTGCTGAAATCTCTGACTGTGTAATTGTCTCCCTGTTAATTTTACCTTTGTGTCCTCTGGGTTTCTGTACTTGCAGGAAGAGAACAAGTGTCCGGATTGGTGGAAAACGCCATCAGTGGAAATTCGATGGGTACACTGATTCAAGCACCTGGAGGCTGTGGCGAACAGAACATGATCTACACAACCCTGCCGGTCATTGCAACCAGATATTTGGACAAAACCAACCAGTGGGAAGCTGTAGGCTTCCAGAAACGAGCTGAAGCCATAGAGCACATAAAAACTGGTAGGCTCACTTGCTGTAAATAAAGACAGAGATGGAACTCGTTTGAATGAGAATTCTCCATATGACTTTGAGTGGGGTGGGGAAAATAATTTAATTCCTCCTCCTAAGAAGGTTGTGTCTTTTGGTATGTCAAGGCTACAAAAATGAGTTGGCGTACAGAAAGAGTGATGGGTCTTTTGCAGTATGGAGTCATCACCCAAGTAGCAGCTGGTAATGCACTGAAACATTCACTAAATTATAATCAATTTAACTTTTATGCATCAAAAGCATATTTTAATTAAAAAAAATTATAAAACTTAACTGCTACACCATCTCTTCTCGTCCTCCAGGTTGACAGCATATGTTGCCAAAGTGTTTGCTATTGCTAACAGCTTGGTGGCAGTGCAGAATGATCATATCTGTGGTGCTGTGAAGTTTCTGATTCTCAATGCTCAGCAGCCTGATGGCATGTTTAGAGAAGTGGGAAATGTAATCCATGGAGAGATGATTGTGAGTGCACCACTGCAAACATTATGTATCTTAACTCTAATGAAATATCTACTAACACAACTGATTATGATCTGTTTTAGATAACGTATTGTTAGAGTTTTGGTCATGGTGACAGTGTTTTTTTTCTGACATGTTGGTGTTGTGTGTCCATGTGTAGGGTGATGTGCGCGGCAAAGATTCAGATGCTTCCATGACGGCCTTTTGCCTCATCGCCATGCAAGAGTCACGTACAATATGTGCTGGAACTGTTGGTGTGAGTACTTAACTGCATAATGTGGTTTTCTTTGCTTCCCAGTTTTTCGTTTTTACCTTCATTTTTTTTTCTTCTGATTTTATTTTCCAACTTCAAGTGTATGGGGAGCTGTGTGTAAAGTTGCACAGTCAAAAATTAACATCGGTATTTTTGGTTTATTTAGCTTTTAATAAGAAAAAAAGGGGGGGGGGTTTCAGTCATATTTTAACTATGGTATTCATAAATTTATAAATGCCATAGTTCTCAACTAAATATTTAATTTACAAGATAAATATTTATTTTACAAACTAAATACTTAACTTGAAAGTTAAATATTTAGTTAGTAAACTAAATATTTTGGTATAAATTGAATTTTTAATTTACACCTAAATATATAGTTTACTAACTAAATATTTAATTTCTAAGCTAAACATTTAATTCCTAAACTAAATATTTAATTTGCTAACTATATATTTAGTTGGACTTAAATACATATTTTACAAGCTAAACATTTAATTTCCAAAATAAATATTTAATTTGCTAACTAAATATTTACCTCAGACCTAAATATTTATCTTGCTAGTTAAATATTTAACTTGCTAGCTAAATATTTAACTTGCTGGTTAAATAGGTCCAAGCTAAATATTTAATCAGCAAATTAAATGTTTAGTTTAGGAATTAAATGTTTAGCTTAGAAATTAAATATTTAGTTAGTAAACTATATATTTAGGTGTAAATGAAATGTTTAATATATACCAAAATATTTAGTTTACTAAATAAATATTTAGGAATATATTAAATATATATAAATTAAGTAAATAGATAAATAAATAAAATAATTTTTTTTTTTTCAGGCTTTTAAGGTTCACACTGGTGTCTCTGAGTGACTGCCCAACAATCCATTCTGTGCCTTTATTTTTTTTTCTGTTTGTTTCTATTTGTTCAGAGTCTTCCTTCCAGTATAGAAAAATCAGTCAGCTATCTGGAGAAGCGTCTGCCCTCTCTCACCAATCCTTATGCTGTTGCCATGACATCATATGCCCTGGCCAATGAAAACAAACTGAACCGGGAAATCCTCTACAAGTTTGCTTCTTCTGGTATTTTATTACACGTTTTGAGGTTATATGTCTTAACCTGTACTGTACCTTTCTGCTCGCTCCACTTTTACATGATAAGAATGACATAAAATAATAAGTCTTACTGCAAACATATTACTGGGGCTGAACATGCTAAAAGGCAATAAGTAAAAAATTAAAATATATTTCTAAGGATAAGTTTGAAAGAAAATAGAAAGCCTATTATTTACAAATGGCACTTAGAACAGATATTGTGATTTTTCTACTTATGTATACTTTTTTCAAAAGAAAATGTATATTATGGTTACTTTACCATTTGATTTACTTGCATGATAAACAAAACATCAGACCCTTCAAAATTAATAGGATTCATCATTAAAACAGTTATTTTACGCTCAATCGTGTGATGATGTGAAATATATATATATATATATATATATATATATGTGTGTGTGTGTGTGTGTGTGTGCATTTTACTCAATTTCATTAGCGTTCATTTGTTTCTTCCAGAGTTTTCCCACTGGCCTGTTCCTGGAAACCACCAGTTCACACTAGAGGCAACAGCTTATGCTCTTCTGGCTCTCGTCAAGGCAAAGGTGAGCTTGTCCCTCTTTATTATGTTTCACACGCACTCAGACTTCACTGACGTTACATCACCTAGTTGTCCGCTGTAGCTCAGTGGTCAGTGTGATGGTTTTGTAAACCTGCTTGCATCTGGTGTAAAACAAATGTCGAAATCTCGTGCACAAATTCGATCGCTTTGGAAAAAAAACCACAGCGACGTTAGTTAAACTAAGTGTTAAACTGACAAGTTTAAACAATGAACAGTAAAACAAGGGTTTATTTTTTTCCCTTATTTCTCTGTAGGCCTTTGAAGATGCAAGACCAGTCGTTAGATGGTTCACCAAACAACAAAAAGTTGGTGGAGGCTATGGATCAACTCAGGTAACACAATTTGTTCTGGTAACTTAAGCCTTTGCAATAGCTTTTAATAAAATTTTACTTTTTCTTCTTTTATAATTTGACTTCTTCCCAATTTTTCCTTCACGTTACTCACTTTTATTTCTGTCCAGGCTACTATCATGGTGTACCAGGCTGTAGCAGAGTATTGGGCCAATGCTAAAGAACCGGACTATAATCTGAATGTGGACATCTTGTTGCCGGGCAGAGCAGCACCTGATAAGTACAACTTTAACAGAGAAAACCACTATGCCACAAGAACATCTAAAGTGAGATTAAAACTCTTCACACAAACAGCACTATGTGAATATTTATTTATTCTGTGTAGATTATACCTATACATGCATGGATATATTTATATTTATACCCAAACAGATTAATGACATAAACCAAAATGTGAAAGTGACTGCCACAGGAACAGGGGAAGCAACCGTAAAAGTAAGTTGCACTTTGTTTTTTAAATATAAATTGTGTGTGTGTTGGTGTGTGTCCTAGTCTGTTAAGACTAAACATTGTCTTATTGAGACCGACATGGCAGTTTGTGTAAACTAAAACTGACAGAATGGAATTTTTTTTTTTATTCATTTTTTTCAAATATAAATTATCAAAACAAAAAATGTTAACTCAACCTGCTAAATTGTTTAAATGTTCAGCTTTTTGTGTTTCGGACATATTTTAGTCAGTCAAATATGTTTGATGTTTTTTTGGGGGTTTTTTTTTTGACCCAACAATTTCGAAATGAGTCACAAAATAATTATTTTATTACAATAAAATAATCCAACTTTGTCTGTTTGACAGATGGTGTCGCTGTATTACGCTATTCCTAAAGTACAGGAAAGTGACTGCCAGAAGTTTAATATGACAGTGGAGTTAATCCCAGGTAACTGGTTTATTTGTATCTTTGTTGCTATTCCCCTTGTTTACTTTCCCAAAAGATCTTAAGCTCATCAAATGCTTTGCTCCTCCAGAGAAAATGACTGACGACGAAAAGACATACAAACTTAAAATAGAGGTTTTGTAAGTAGAGCCCACTGCACTCTGGCTTCTGTAAAAAAAAATAATAATAATTGCAAAACTACATTTTCTGTAAATTCTGTGTACAGGTATCTGAACAAGGAAAGAGACTCCACCATGTCAATTTTAGACATTGGCTTGCTAACTGGCTTCACAGTTAACACGAACGACCTGGACTTGGTGAGACATTAAACAAACACCCACATTCAGTGGAGTTCACCATTCAGCGTTAACAACAATACAAGCTAGAGAAATTGCATTTCCTGCGAAAATGCAGTGTGACCACTATTGCTGAAGAACTTGCTGAAAAACAGCTGAAATTTGCTTAGAAAAAAAAAGCATGCTGAATTGTAGGGGAAATGAAAGAACAAGCCTAATTTAGCAAAAGAAAGCAGAATTATTATTATTTTTTGATGAATTAAGATTAAATTAGCAGAAATGAGCACAAAAATAGGAAATTAGCAACAAAAAAGCTAAAATTAGCTAAATATAGCTGAAAAAGCAGAAAGAAGCTTAAACTACCAGAAGAAAGCGGAAAGAGCTGAAATGAGTTAGAAAAAAAAGTGGAATTGGATGAAAAGGCTAAAATGAGCATAAAACAGCTAAATGGTAGCTGAAATAGCAGAAAAGGCTGAAACTATTGGAAAAAACCTGAAAGAAGCTGAAAGAAGCTGAAATTAGCGAGTTAATTAGGTTGACAGTCGGCAGACTGTTGGGAGGAGTGGCCATCGCTCAGGGAGGAGTGCTGCCCGGCATTCGGGTGGTCCTACAGCCCGGAGGAACCGAGAAGCCAGCCAAGCCTGGGTGGATGGATCGGACGGCATCTGCAGCCGTCTTCTTAGGGTCCACTGTGGGATGGACCTTTACAAAAGATCCTTCCTGCCTACAGCCATCAGCATCTATAACATCTCTTCATGAAATGAGGATAACGAGTTACAACAACAAATCCCTTTGGGATTAATAAAGTATTTTGGAATTTGAATTAGCAAAAATTACCATGAAAAACTTGAATTAAAGCAGATAAAATTAGCTAAAAATGCAAAAAAGGTAGCTGAAAATGTGGAACAAGCTTAAATTAGCAGAAGAAAGAAGAAATAATACATTTTTGCCCATTTAGACTGAAAGAAGCAGAAATTAGCACAAAAATGTGGAATTAGCTGAAAAAGCTAAAATTAACATAAAACAGCTAAATAGTAGCTGGGATAGAAGAAAAAGCTGAAAATTGCATAAATAAGCTGAAAGGAGCATAACAAGCTGAAATGAGCAGAAAGCCATTAGAAGAATCACAAAAATGTTGTAGTAAGCAGAAAGAAGCTGAAAGGAGCGCAAAAAACTGAAGAAAAGAAAAAACCCAGCTGAAATTAGCTGAAAGTAGCTGGGAAAAAAGTTTAAATTTTCACAAGGAAGCTGAAAGAAGCTGAACCAGAACAAAATATGAAAGGAGCATTAAAAGTTTGTAAACAGAATGAGCTAAATTCATTTTTATGAGAAAAAAAATGATAGAAAAGGCGAAATATTTCAAAAAGCTAAAGTTGCACCAATACCAAAAGTCATAGCACCCTTCTCCTGAACGAGCTGAACGTTTTGATACCTAAGTTGCTGAAATAGCTTAAAAACTTTGGGGCGAGAATCACGCCCAAGAAAAACCATACGGAATAGTTAAAGTAACGAGAAGTCGAAATACGGAATAATAAATATAAACAGGAAAACAATAGTGTGAATGCTCAAAATCATCCACACGATAACAAAAACTCAAGGAGACAGAGGAGAACCAGACTGGGCATGGAAGTCACGATGGCTGACTGCTGATGGAGGAAAAGATTATTGAGTGTCAATGAACTGGGGCTAAAGAGGAAAGAGGAGACACTAATGCTGATTGAGAACAGGTGTAAGTGGAAATTGACTGAGGAAAAGTGAAAATGGCGCAGGAAACACACAAAAAGACCAACAGAACCAAACACAAAATATATTATTCCAAAGGGAATATACATAACAATAAACATAAAACCACACAAAAACAACCAAGGTTAAAAAATATGTCTACTAACATGTTCCTATGTGTGTAGTTGTCTAAAGGACCTGCCCGCACCATCGACAGATATGAGATGAACACTGTCTTGTCAGAGAGAGGCTCTCTTATCATCTACTTGGACAAAGTAAGACGTCACTCCTCCTTGTGTTTCCCACTCACTTTGATGTTGTTTGTTCAAGTTTATTTTATATTTATTTTTCGTTTCGCCACAGATTTCTCACAGGAGACCGGATGAGATTGCATTCAGGGTTCATCAAACATTAAAAGTGGGCATCTTACAACCAGCAACCATATCTGTTTATGAATATTATGAAAGTAAGTTTATAAAAGCTGCTTTTTTGTTTTTGCATTTTGATATCTCTTTTTTTTTTTTTTTTTTGTTACAATTAAATGCGCCTTGTTAAATAAAAAAAGAACTTTTCTTAAACTGACTTGTCTTGTGGCAACGTTAGGGATAACTGAATGTATTTTATGTAACAGATGTACACATTTTGATGTACTGCAAAAGCCAAAAACAGTTTAACGACTTTTATTTCCCCATTTCAGGAACACCTTGTGTGAAATTCTACCATCCAGAGAGAAGGGCTGGACACTTGCTGCAGCTCTGTAGAGGTGACGAATGCACGTGTGCAGAAGGTAAACAAGATTAGTGCTGTAGCAGTAGAGTTTATAATATTTCCTGCAGAGACATAACATTAAATGCAACCGTCCCTGGGTGAATACTAACTTTCTAGCGGTGCTTGCAATGAAATAAAAGGCTAAGAAAAGTTTCAATATTTTCATGCTGATTAGGCAGCAAATTGAAAATGGTATAGCTTTATTGGGCATTTGCACACTGATCATTCAAGTACTGTTTATAGATTTGTGGGAACCAATCAAAAATGTTGTTTGGAGGCATAAGGTTTACAAAAACAACAATGGAGAGATTCCTAACGCTTTAGATAATCCATGAACAGAATGACAATATAAGAAATCCATTAATCTTCCATCTGCAGCGACACAAACTCTTAAATCCCCAAACAATAACAAAATGAATTAATAAATCAAAATGAGTGGGTGGTGCGGTGGGCCAGTTGGTAGAGCTGTTGTTTCTCAGCTAGAAGAACACTGGATCAAATCCCGGCAAGGGTCCCTTTCTGGGCGGAGTTTGCATGTTCTCTCCATGCACTCGTGGGTTTTCTCGAGGTACTCCAGTTTCCTCCCACAGCCCAAAAACATGCATGTTAGGCTGATTGGTAACTCTAAATTGTCCCTAGGTGTGAATGAGAGAGTGAATGTTTGTTTGTCTCGTTTGTCTCTGTGTCCCGGTGACGGACTGGATGGATGGATGGATGGATGGATGGATGGATGGATGGATGGATGGATGGATGGATGGATGGATGGATGGATGGATGGATGGATGGATGGATGGATGGATGGATGGATGGATGGATGGATGGATGGATGGATGGATGGATGGATGGATGGATGGATGGATGGATGGATGGATGGATGGATGGACTGATGGATAAAATGCACCATATCAAGCTGTTTGTCTTCAATAAAGAACTTTCTAGCTAACCCTTCATCCGTTTAGAGCTATTGTGGATTTGTTATGATTTGTGTGGTCATGGTACAAGATTAACAGAAATTAACAGAGACTGTTGCCTGGAATGAAAATATATTTAACCAGCATCTATTTTAAAGTTTAACAATAATTAAACTAACACTATGAATAATCAGTTTTAGGACCCTAATGGGACCATATGCATATGCAAAGTCTGCATATAGCAACAAACTACGGTGGCCCTGAGATGTAAATGAACAACATTTGAAAAAAATGGAATTACATTTGAAAAAACCAATTTACCTAAAAAAAAAAAAAAAAAGTCAAAAACACGACAACATTTGGAAGAAAAAAAAAAGGAATTACATTACGCCAAAGCGGAAGTGGCCAAAGCGGAAGTAGTCAAAGTGGAAGTGGT